GTAAGGTTTCTCTGCACTATGAGTTTTCTGATGCCGAGAAAGATTTGACCTCCAGGTAAAGGCCTTGCCACATTCTTGACATTGGTAAGGTTTTTCTCCACTATGAATTCTGTGATGTTCAGTAAGGGTTGACCTGTCACTAAAGGCCTTGCCACATTCTTGACATTGGTAAGGTTTTTCTCCAGTATGAATTCGGTGATGCTTAGTAAGTTGTGAAGGGACTGCATAGGCCTTACCACATTCTTGACACTGGTAAGGTTTCTTTCCAGTATGAATTCTATGATGTTCAGAAAGGTGTGAAAGGCAGTTAAAGGCCTTGCCACATTTTTGACATTGGTAAGGTTTCTCTCCAGTATGAATTCTGTGATGTTTAATAAGGGATGACCTCTGGTTAAAGCTCTTGCAACATTCTTGACATTGGTAAGGTTTCTCTCCAGTATGACTTCTGTGATGTCGAGTAAGGGTTGAGCTGTGGTTAAAGCTCTTGCCACATTGTTGACACTGGTAAGGTTTCTCTCCACTATGAATTCTGTGATGTTGAGTAAGTTTTGAGCATGATGTAAAGGCTTTGGCACATTCATTACACTTGTAATTTTTCCCTGCAATATGAATTTGGTGCCGTCTATTAAGACCTGATTGATTGTTAAAAGCCTTGTCACATTCTTGATGTTTGCAGGGTTTCTCTCCAGAATAGATCTGTGAATGTCCATTTATTGATGAACAGTCCTTAAAGGCTTGACCACCTTCTTCACATTTGTGTATTTTTTCTCCAGTATGCATTTGTTGATGTTGAGATAGTGTTGAGTGGCAGTCAAAGGATTTACCACATTCCTTAAAAATGTAAGTTTCCTCTCCCTGAGGGATTATCTCATTGATGTTTAGGCTTGATGACTGACTAAACACGGTCCCATGTTTATTACATGTCAATGGGCTTTTTCCCTCAGGAATTCTCTGATGATCACCAACACTGGAGGACTGGTTATGAGCTTTCCCACATTCATTATATTTATGAGGACTGTCTCCCAAATGGTGACCATTATGTATACTGAAGTTAGAGCTTGGATGAAAGACTTCCCCACATTTATCACATTCATAATGGTTCTCTGCAAAACTAGCCCTGACACATCTGTGAACACTGGAGCCCTGGTCCAATGTTTTCTCAGATTCAGTGCATTGAGCAATTCTGTCTCCAGTGAAAAGCCTCTGGTCATACTGTAGGGTCGACTCCTCAGTGAAGTCCCTCTCATATGGATCCCACTGAGGACTTTGTTCTTCATTTCTAAATCTCTGATTTAAAGTCAGACCAATCCTATTTTCCAAATGGCTCAAATCATTATTCTCATCATGGACTAGGTTACTTTCCAGATGTTCCAAGGGGTCTGTCCACAAATCAATATGGTTGACTATCTGATTGGAGCTTGTGCTGACAGAGACCCATTGCTCTGCAGAAACAGTTGACTTAAAAAGGGAGGTCTTCCATAGCGGTTTATATCTTTCACCATTTGGGGCAGTGAGATTCTCATTAAGGGCAATTGCCTTGGTTTGGGTGTATCGTCCAGGATTTCTTTGATGCCCTTCACTCTCCCCATCATTGTCCCAGTCTGTGCATAAGTGTAAAATCTCAAAAGCACTATCTTTGTATCTCTGCATTGACCCATTCTGGAAAGAACCTTCTATGCTCCACTGTAGCAGGAAACTCTTGGTGTCATGTGAAGATACAGCTGAAAGATACAAAATAAAAGTAAAACCATTGCACTTACTACATTCAGAAGAATATACTGAAGACTTCTAATACAGAAGCATCAAGTCACTCAGATAATGTCAGAAAGATGACTGACAAGGAGTCATCAGGACTTCATTTCCCCATGAAAACATAACATGGTACACAACATATAGACCATATATCCGAATAGATAATTCTGTGATATGGTCACAGTGTAGCAGAAATCCCTTCCTGTATCTCTAACAATCACAAAAAGGATCATATGAGCTTAAACTTAGCAGAAGAATGGAGGATATGGAAAACAGAAAACTGAACTGAATCAAAGAGAGTACAGTAAAAAAAGGAACATACCAAGCACAGGAAGAGCTGTTTGGCAGAAAAGATAAACAACACTGACAGCCCATGAACTAAATGAAGAATAACAGAAAAAAGACTGAATATAATGACAAGTGAAGAAGTGAAAGAGGACAAAGTATAACGGACTGTAGGAATAAAATCATAAGAGGCAACAATTTTTTAAGGGGGGAATCACAAGATTTCGGGTGGGAGCTACAGAGAGAGGGAATCACATGCAGGCATCAAACTGAATACAGTGTGACTTGAGCCTGTATCCCAGGACCCTGAGATCAAGATCTGAGCAGAAATCAAGAGTCAGTACTTACCCAAGTGAGCCACCAAACACCCAATTATATTTTAACTCTTATCTCTGTGGTAAAATTCTCACTAGTTTTTTCTCACTCTTTGAATATCCTTATGATTGTGACCTTAAATTCTCCATCAAGCTCCTTACTACTGTTTCCACTGGATCTCTGGGCTTGGTCTTATCTGCTGGTTTTCCTTGGGATAAATTCTTTCATCTTGGCATTTCTTTAAGTCTCTACTTTCCTCTGTCCATTAGAAAAGTCAGTGATGTGTCCTGTTGTATCCTTCAGACCAGTGGTCTGCAGGGGCTCTCCTTGCCTGCTATGGGCAGTGTTTGGTCCCTGGCCTGAATGTGGCCAGTTTGAACTAGGTGAGCTCTGCTCCAATTGTGAAAGGAGACCTGACATCAACTCCACCAGAACTGCGGCTGTGCAGAATCCCTGGTCAGGAGATGTGATGTGGGCAGGGGTTGATCTGGCTTAGCCTGAGGCAAGCCTCACTGAGAAGGGCGGTCCCCTCAGATCACAGGGGGTGAGGCCCACTGCAGGCAAGGCAGACAGCCAGTGTCCTCACTGAATGGGGCTCAGTCTTTATGCTACAGGACAGTAGAGGGCTCCCATGTTTTGGAAGCCACATGTCACTGAATGTTTCCTCTCAGGAATGTGCTCCTAGACTACTGAATACTCTCCCCACTGTGCACTCCAGGTGTTCTCCAGATGACTGTTTCCATGCTGGGTGCCCCCAGGTTGTTTGCCAGCCTTCTGTCGAGGAGCACCCAGGTGTTCTCCTGATTCTATCCCATCCAAACCTGCTGACCATTAAACCTCCAGGCTT